ACATATCGCATGAGTAATATTCCGGATTGGAGATGTCGCAATTCAGACTTACCGTGAGTGGCAGGAGATTTCGCATGTGAGATGGTGGAAGGAGCACTCGAACTCGAAGCAAGCTGATCCAAGATTTCTTCCACCGTAACAGGTTCTAAAACATACTGCATGAGTGATATTCCAGATTCATCGCGATCCCGAAAACTTACTGTCAGGTGGAGGAGGCTTTTCAGCTGGAGCGGTGGAAGGACCACCCACATTTGCATCACTCGCATCTGCACCACTCGCCTCTGCAGCAAGTCGGTCCAGCATGACGGCCATCGATATATCTGAAATATCAGACGATGCTACCCATGCTGCTCTCTGTCGGTAATCTTCCGCGGTTTCAGGCCATTCGGGACCGAGAGGCTCAACATCGGGTGACCACGGTGGAGTTGACCCCCCCGCAGCTGCAACCGATTCCGATAAATCTTCACCAGCTTTTTCAGCCGGCACCCACATCTCACCGATTGACGTAAACGGAGTGATCTCATCTTTATCGCTGGAAATCGAAGTAGAAGTCAGCATCACTCTAAAAATCTATCATATGACGCACCTTGTCAGGCCAACCTCTTCCATGGGGCGCCATAATACAACACCGCGAGGAGCATCCAGCGCGACTTGATAACGGTCATTCCAGATATTCGTTAGGTATCCTTTCCAGCCTTTGTACCCGCCGCGGATGATGGTCACACGTTTCATGATGTACTTTCTGTGTATCTCGGACAGGGAGCGCGAGCTTGTTGACGAATCATGAAGACTGCTGTGTGATGATGATGCCACTGGCTCTTCCAGTGCGGTGAAGAACTGCAGTTCCAGCTCGTGCTTGATGACATCGCGAGGTCTCACGACGATCTTTACACAGGTTCAGCCCATGACATTGCGGAAAGTGATAAACGCACCTCATGATTCTTTTTATGAATGAGTAGTCGCAGCTCGTCCTTGTCGTTCTCGCTCGTCAAAACGAAGCCTTTAGCTCCGCGGTAATTACCTCGCACAACACGCACGCTATCACCTGAGTGGAAGAACCTTTCAAGGCTGCGTAACAGCACCGTAGCTACTTGAGGATCATCCTGACCGAATGCCACTTCAGCACGGTCCTCTGTAACGCTTTGTATGATTCCTTCTGTGCCGGATAATTCTCCGTCTATCACGCGAATACAATCACCAATGGCCAGACTTGCGATGTACGCTCGGTGAATGAGACCGTTGAGCGCTGTCGGCGAGATCCAGCTGCAATGCATAAACGACGAGATCTCGGCTTCACGAGGTGCATCAACCACGGGTGCCAGTGAACGAGCGTCGTACTTCAGACGCACAAGCCGGTCTCTGAATCGCTTGTTGCGAAAGCCGAACTCGAGCGTGCCAGCGACGGGTTTCCTTTCCTTGACGGATTCGGCGCCGAACACTTCCACAGCCTTCACGCGGTCAAAAAGTTGCACTGCTGGACGTGACGACCGCTTTCGCTTTTGTGAATAAGAGATGCGGGGAACAGCCCAGACGATTGCACCCTGAATGTCCTCCACATACGCAAGGTCCCACTTGTAAAGTCCGTATGCGATTCTAGCAAAGCAAGGCGCCACGACGGTGTCACTTGCAAAGATGTAGAGGGGAATCCGCTGCTCTAATGGTACATGAACCGGCTGAATGCTCAGGAGAAGATGAGATGCCAGTGAACATGCGCGCACGACATTGGCCAGTGCCCGCGCTTCAATGTAAATGCGATCGGTGCGATGAACCGGTGTCCCCTTCTCGCAAAGGGATATGGACTGTATGATTGGGTTCGCTGGCGGTGAGATGCTTCGACGTGGCAGCGCTGCAGAGCCTTCAGGATCAGATGGACCCGCAGACTGCGTTATAGGATCAGATGGACCCGCAGACTGCGTTATAGGATCAGATGGACCCGCAGACTGCGTTATAGGATCAGATGGACCCGCAGACTGCGTTATAGATGCCGCTGTGGGGGCCAATGCGCCAAAGATGAGACAGAATGCTCGAAGAGCACAGTTCGGCTGGACGATTTTCAGCGCCAATCGGCGATGTAAGTAAGAATGCACGACACTTACCCTGGTCTTCACCATCCACAATGCAGGATCCGTCAGCTCAGGGGCCCGAACAGACTCCAATGCATCGAGGTCCGTCGGAAAGGCTCAAGGAGCCCTCGAATGCATCACGCAATAACGTGCGATTTCCTTCTCAAGAACCCCTTCTTCGTGGTCAGATGGGATTCTGGCCCAAACAGATGAAGACTCGTCTTCCGAGTGTACACTACCATCTTCGATGAAATCTATGGATCCATCAGCTGCGATTCGCACGTTGCGCGCTGTTGACTCACCTGACAAAGGCTGATCGTCTTCCTCCATCACCTCAGTCTTCCCATCATCATCCACGACGGCCTCGATGTCGAGATACTGACTGACTAGCATGCGCTAATGCAAATCAACATGAACTGTTACTCACATATCAAAGAACATGTAAATCACATTGTCTGGCATTATAATGGACTTGTACCGCGGAGGAGAAGTTGACTGAGTTAGTTCAACCAGAGTTCAACGAACTCTGGCCGAAAGTCGGACTTGTAATAGTATTTCCACGCATCTCGTGGTTTACGGTAAGTTCCGCAAGGACGGCTTCTCTCCAGGGATCAAGAGAGCGCAATCTCGACGGGATCTGGAATACAGTTCGGACAAGCTAATTGACGATGGATATAGGGACAAACTCACCTGAGGAACCCATTGCTACAATATAAACCGCCGGGGACGGAAGCGGGGAGACAACGGACGAAGACGAAGA